ATCATGATATGAATTTTGACAACTATGAAAGATGGCTCAAAACGAAGTTAATTCCAAACCTTCCACCAAATTCGGTATTAGTAGTGGACAATGCAGCTTACCATAACGTACAACTTAATCCGGCTCCAACTTCTTCATCTCGAAAAAGTGCTATGATCGACTGGCTTTCAGATCGTAGCATTCCTTTCAGTGACGGAATGTGTAAGCCCGAATTGTATTCTCTAATTAAACTGCGTAAGCCACGATTCAAAACATTCAAAATTGATACTCTACTGTCTGAACATGGCCACTCTGTCCTTCGCTTGCCGCCATATCACCCAGATCTGAATCCAATTGAACTGATATGGGGATTGGTCAAAGAATATGTCACCAGAAAGATGATGCTATGAAACTAGCTGAGGAAAAGTTTAGTAGCATCACAAAGGAAGAATGGACCTCGAGGTGCAACAAATCCCATCAGTGCGAACAGAATTACTTGTGGTTGGAATCTGTTCTTGACGACATTTCGGAACAAATTACAGTTAATTTACAAGATGGCAGTGATACCAACAGTTGTAGCAGTAGTGAGGAAAACGAGAGGGAGGAAGAAGATGCAGAAGAAGATGATGGGGAATTAAGTGGAATAGGAGCTTTGTAAAATATCTTCAGCCGCTGTAAGTAATTCAGTCTGCACTGATGTTTTTGTGTTCAGTAGTACAGAGAAAGCTGTTCTCCTCCATTCCCCACTATCACTAGGAGACAGCGTCAGTACCCTCCCTCACGCGCATTCCACAGCTCGTGTCTGAGCGAATGACTAATAGCTGGCTAGTGCGCATATTAAAACAACAAGCTACTCAGTGTTCAAGTGTTTTAACACATTGAGGATTGTCACCACATCCTTATATCCTGTGCATGTTCCTGTCTACCCAGTTTCACAATATTGTGTTCTGGTACACTTCAGGTTCCTATAATGTCTTCATTATTGTCAGTGATGTTTGCTATGGACTGTCTTAGTAATACGAGAATTCAAACCTGGATGGGATGTAGGAGTAGAAATATGAAAATTAAAATGAAGCCAAGCCACTACTATATAAGATGAAACTAGCTAGAATACCAATTCTTGACCTGGGGTTTTCTTAACATAAACTTTACTGAAATATAAAAATTCTTTATTTTTATTTTGTGTATCTTTAATAAATGCTGCTCAGGAGTCAGTTGGTGGGTTCTTATGAACACAGTAATGAACCTTTCATGTTTCATAAAAAATTAGCAATTTTTTAACTGGCTAGGTAATTATTAGCTTCTCAAAACAGACTGCTTTATGGATAAAGGTAGTTTATAAACTTCATAAACAATGTAAGCAGTCTAACCTCTTAATTGGCATATGAAAGTTTGTACACTGCATTAAACAAGCATTGAATTGTTGTTTATCATTCATTTCATATTCCAAAAATGAAAACATGTGGCATTACAAATCTTTTATATTGTTTACAGTGGCATCACATAGTGATAAGGCTTTTAAATACCAAATATATCATTTTGTTCATCAAACTATATACTGTTGGCTAGTGATAAAAGAGCAGTGGATGTAGTACAGCAACCACCAAAAGGTTAGGAAGCAAATAGAAAGGTATTTAGGACATATGAGAATAATTAAGATGATTACAGTTTGCTACATTTAAGTTTACGTGTTCAGTGTTCACACCACAAATATCTAGGTGATATTGAAGTTCTTTCCATGTTTGCTCGCCAGTCAGAGTTCTTGCCTTGTCACACAAGCTTTGATTGACTCCATCAAAGGTCATTTCCCCTGAAACTGTTTGGAACTGATGCTGATCTGTAGTCACAGATTATATTTTGTGAAACCGAAGAATACGTTGACCTTTTGGTTGCTGTGACACCATTTTACTCTTCTGGATATGCCAGCATTGCAACATTGAAACCATTCATGCCCCACACTTTGTGGAGCCATTTGTACTGGATACTCTCATTGTTACTGTGCTTCACTGTTGCTCAGTTTTACAAAGGAAAAGTGAGTTGTGTGAGCTAGGACTCTTTATCAGCAGGATACAGGTTATTGTGTGATAGACATCAGAAGGTAGAAGCAAGGGATATGGAGATAACAATAGAGAAAATTGGCATCAAAATCACATAACATCTAGCTGGGATATCAATACAGATATTTATTAAAATTAAGATATGTTGTTTTGATGAGGAAGTACATACTGTTACAAGCACGTAAGGTCTGGATGTTAACTGTGTTTGTTGAATGACAGAAGTGTCTATATTGACTGTTTACAACTAACTGTGTATGTTGAAAGCTTGCCACTGACTCAGTACTTTGAATGTTCACCACCAACTGCGTCTTTGGATATTTACCACCGACTGTTGACTTTGAATGTTCACCATCAACTGTGTCTTCAGAATTGAAGTCAGTTTACCACTTCCAAAAATGTACCAATTTTCCCTCTCTTGTCAAAACATGAATTTTGTAACTTCATTGGTTCTTTTTCCTGCTTTGATTCTGGATTGGTGGACTAATTTAAATTAAAAGTCAAAATTATCTTCCTGTGATTGGCTGGCTTCAACTCCTGAGCTTAAACTTATCAATTAATTTGCATAGTGATTCAAGGTCACTTAGGCCAACTTTTACTGGTCTGACCTCTTCAGAGTGAAGTAACTGCAATGGCCTTTTGAAGTACAGGTAGTCCTTGATTTGCGCCGATTCAGAATAACGACGATTTTGAAACCAGAAAGTCAAAAAGTGAAAGAAATATATTTTACTATTATTCATAACGTTTTACAATGTTACTAAACTGTAATTCTTACATCGCTGATTTTGAATAAAAATTATAAATACAGTCACCCCTGCAGTTACGTATTTTTCGTTTACGCGAATTCGCTCCAATGAATTGGTAAAAGCTTTAAGGTTTACATGCGTCATGTTTGTGTTTTATGATTAAAATATATAATAAAATTCAGGTCAATACACAAACTTTATTTAGATGTTAAAATTTAAAACTTAAATGTTAAAGTTTAAATTTGCGCCATTCATCACTATAACGATGTTACAATAGAGCGCTTTCATTCACTTCACTACATGTTTCGATGCAAAGCATCATCTTCAGGTGTTGTCTTTTAAAACTACTTTATATTAAAATGCATGTTTTTCAATATATTCGTCCTTTTTGTTCATTATTGTAGCATGTGTTCCGCTGATCCTGCCGTTTTACGCATCTTATGTTTGTTTTGATTATTCATAAGTCGTGTTGTGTGGTGTTTCTACGTCTGCTCAGGTTGACTGTCTGTTCGTGGACTCTGCTCAGGTTAACTGTCTGTTCGTGGACTCAACAGTCAACCTGAGCAGACGTAGAAACACCACACAACACGACTTATGAATAATCAAAACAAACATAAGATGCGTAAAACGGCAGGATCAGCGGAACACATGCTACAATAATGAACAAAAAGGACGAATATATTGAAAAACATGCATTTTAATATAAAGTAGTTTTAAAAGACAACACCTGAAGATGATGCTTTGCATCGAAACATGTAGTGAAGTGAATGAAAGCGCTCTATTGTAACATCGTTATAGTGATGAATGGCGCAAATTTAAACTTTAAATTTTAACATTTAAGTTTTAAATTTTAACATCTAAATAAAGTTTGTGTATTGACCTGAATTTTATTATATATTTTAATGGTAAAAGCTGTTTGTGAAAGGCAAACTTTTGCATATGCGAGTTTGCTCTTATGCATTTTCATTCCTGGCGCTTTAAACTTTCAAAGGACTAATTTAATTTCTGCAGAGGTAAAGGGGTTGGTTTTACTACGCGGTTTTCTATAGGTCGGCGTCTTACATGAATGCAACTATCGAATAACAGTAGAGATGACTGTACACATCAGTCACATGAAAGAATCTCAGTCAATCGCGGGGACAAACGAATCGCCGATTGTAAGTGTATAAAATATATTTTTTTAAATTCCCTTTATTTTATTTACATTATTTCAGAGCTTTAAATGCAGTGCCATAATATTACTCGTCAATGTTTGTGTGCTGGGAACAAATGTCATTGCCTTCTCATTGATTTACATTATAAAAGAGTTTCAATTTACGCCAGTTCGTCCAGGAACGCATCCCCGACGTAAATCGAGGGCAACCTGTACTAATTTTAAAGAAGTTTTTAATTACTTGAGTATGTATGTTCTTAGATCTCAGGTGACCAGTTGATAGTGGTTGAAATCCGATAATGTCTGCCTGCGACCCTTACAAACAATTTCTTTGACAATGGGGGAAGGGTTTATGTAATAATTGGGATCCAAAACAATAAAATCCTAACTTCAACCTTGATGGGTACTAAATTCTGAGTTCATCCTCAGTACCTGATGATTAAAACCAACAGGAAGTTAACCTCCATATGTAACATTGAACTTGGAGTGTTTCTGTGCATATATCAAGTTATTTCATGGTTTTAACTGCTTTGATTTATTAAATATAGCAAATCATAACCATTTTAATCATTCTGAGACACTGTATTAAAAATAGGTACGTATATGTGAAGAAGTTACTGGGGATTGACATATTGACATTGATTCTGAACTGGATACAAATAAATTAACTGTTTTTAATACTGACATTTATTTTTAAAAATAACATTTTGCCAAGGGTAGGGCATACAAGTAGAAGGTCTTTAATGCTTTGGGTTTTTTTTAAATGTATATATAGATTGTGATGGATAATGGACCAGCAAAGAAATCTTCGCATGCACAGGAGCTGCAGGCTGCTGGTGAAGAGCTAGGTGACATGCTGGAGATAAGCTCTATTCGTAAGGAAGACATTGCATTCCACAGAGGTGAGTTAATTCAGTTTAACATTATATTTTCCAGTTTGAGTGCTTGTAATGATTTGTGTCACTATGTGTGTGTGAGAGAGAGGGATACATTTGAAAATCACCAACACTAAAGCTTGCCATTTTACATGAGTCATTCAGTCTGGTTTTAGTCCTCATACCATAGATCCTGAGGTACATCTTTTCCATAACCTTTGATTTTCCATGTGACCACTTTAAGGGTTTTCGTCAAATTTTTGTATACACTTATATTTTCCCAATGTCGCAACTTGGTTTAATTTTATTATCCTTGCTATGTAGTCCAAGTTTGTCCTCAAATAGTTGCAAATTATGTTTTTTTCCTCTCAGGATAGGACCACATTTCTCAGCCATACAGAGAACAACTGTTGAACTGATCTGAATTAGAGTCTTATCTTAAGCTTTTCTCGTATTTATGGATAGTAATATCAGTAGAGAATATTTGCTTTGGAAATAAATTCATGCAACTGCATTAACCCACTCTAGAACATTCTTGGAAGGAAGAAAATGTCTTACCCAGTAATCAACTGATAAAAATGAGGTCTCATTCAGTTTGTTCTAGCAGTGCTGGCATGCTGATTTATTTCAAAACAGTGTAGGCAGTGATGTTGACTCGGGTATGTTTACAGCATGCAAGTGTATGAAAGTGGGTTAATGAATGGGAAGATATCAGGAAGAATGGGATTGCATGTTAAAGGACCTTTGAAATGTTTTAAGAAAGAATAAGGTGAAAATCCCCCTTTGCATAAGCAACACATCATTTTGGATTAAAGTCTTATGGAGGTAAAGTTTCGTGCATTCTAGACATTGTCATTGACAGAACTTACTAATCTCTACATTCTTGCATTTAAACAGAGGCTTAGGATTGCAGATTAATACATTAGTGGAACTAGAAGCAAAACTTTACCACTGATGAGCTTTCTAGGCAATTGAGTCTGGATCAGAAACAAAGGAAACCCTAGAATAAAAAAAAATAGATTAGTCCTTCTCTTGTTGGGATTAGGAGCAACATGTTGTTTCCTGCAGTTTTTAGTAAACAGTTGTGCTGACACCTCCTCACTTTCACCCCCCCCCCCCTTTCTCTCACTCACTCACTCAGGGATGGGGCCATTATCAGCTAGGTAATGGTAAACCTGAGTAAGGTGATGTTTAAGTGGGTACTGGCTAACTGTTAGTGCTGCATTTTAAATAAACCAGTAATTATTATTAAAATTTATAAACTAATAAACTTGAATTACTTTTTTTCTTCGTCTTTCTTTCTTTCTTTCTGACTGTTCCTTGGATAAGATGAATAGTAACTGGAAACTGATTATTCACGCAGCAGCACGGAAGGGCGATACCTGTCTACCAGGACCAAGTTGCAAGTGTTTTAAGCATCACCAACACTAAGAAAAGCATTCTTTTTTTTAATGACACATTTTAGTATGTTTAAATCTGCAGGTTCTAATTGTTCAGCCAGATTGGAACTTGGTCTGCTTTTTGGTCGAACAACTAGTTCAAGTGAGAGCAATGCTCTTCTATTGGCTAGCCACATTTGGGCAGAAACAGGGTATGAGGGTAAAATACAACTTTCTGGAAACATCTAAGATTCCAAACATTTTATGGCAGGGTGTGAGGTAAACCAAAACACCCTCAATGGAAATTTCCACCAAAGTTGGGTTGCCAACCCATGTTCTTTGTGAAATATAAATTTTAAAACTGATCTTCATAACCAAGATTATATCTTACAGAAACAAGCCGGGGCATGGTACACGGACTTGTCCGGCTACACAGTGAATCAGTAGAGAAGAAATAACGTTTAAAATGTATGTTCATGTATTTAGGTGATAACTGTGGAGAGTAATACTCTTACACTGCAGTTTGCTCATTTGTTTTGTAATAAGAAGTAGGTAAGCGTCAGTGAACAAAAATTATGTTGAAAAGATAGGTTTATGTTTTTCATTGCCTGCAGTGTATTGCTATGCAAATAGTAATACTTGCATAGTATATGTTAGCTATGGTGTATTTTTTATTTCAGCCAGGAGGATTCAGAATTCAGGATTTGCAAAGAACGCATCTTCAACAAACACAGCTCTTGTTGATTTGCAGTTTCCCTTTTCTATTAATATTCTAAATACCATTAATGATTTACTTTCACATACAGTAAGGCCATTCAGTGAACATAATCATAACTGTTTATGAATAGCATCATGAAATGGTGAAATATATAATTTTGTTAATAACCGTAATTCAGACACTGGCTTGCCACCAGTACCTTTATATTACAAAGAGTGGTTTTCAAACTACTGGTAATGCATTTATTACTGGATTTCAGTTACCCTTTAATTGTTTTAAACCTTTAAAGCCCAGTGGTAACTAACTATATGTCCTACCGGCTCTAACAATCTGTAAATTTAATTTTGTATTTATGGGTTTCTTTTGGTTCTGACAGTAAATAGTGATTATTTCCAAAACAACATCATCAAATTTGCCTTTGCAATGGTGAAGAATTGTGTTTTCTTTTCAGTATGGACTGAATTCTTAAATATTATTTAAATGAGCTTCAGCTACAAAGAATTAATTGGAACACCAAATTGAAATGATATTTCTTATACCTTAAGAATTTCTCTACCATAACTTTCTTATTCCAAAGTAGTTCATGGCTGGGAACAGTAACATAGTTTGACAAAAGAAGTTGGGCTAGTTTTTTTAAATATTTGTATATTTTTTTTTAAAAACAGCTGAGATGTAATAAATATCTTAACTTGAACACCACATGTTATTGTTTTTTTAATTTAGCCATCTCATTAGATTTAAGACTGTTTCATTTTAATGGATGATTTAATATTTTCAGAAAAACCAAGTGGTTGAATGCAATACCATGTGATTCATTGGGGGTGAAATGGCATGTTCTGTTTATTATTATAATAGCACGAAGAGAACTGATCTTAGTATGTCAGTTTCGCATGCAGTGATATCATAGCAGATTAATAATAATGGAGACACTGCCTAGTAATAAAGCTGATAAAACAACATGTCTTGGTGCTAGCCTGTGTGCCAAGTAAGGCATTGCTAGCTACCACTAACATGTTTTTATCACTGTTGGGCAAACTCAGTTCAGGTGTTCAAGGAATTCCATGTATGTTAATTTGTAAATGTGTAGTCGAAAGAATGTTCTGATAGGGTATCCCTTGTATAGAGTGTCAAAATTTTATATCTTTATCTACTTACTATTCCTGAGAGTCTCAATAATCTCTGCAGTTGAAATATGATCATAAAATAACCTAAGAATAAATTAATATTGTCCCATCTGTGTCTAGATTTTGTATGAGGTTTTCCAGCCAAACATTTCTGCAACTTTTGTGTTTGCCCCATGCATTCTGCATGCCTTTCCTTCTTATATTTGCTTTCATTAATATAAAAATATCAGGTGTAGAGTACAAATTATGAAGCATCTCATAAATTCTCTGTTCTTTTGTCTTCTCATAAATGCTGCCTCTACTTTTTTCCTACTCTTCCCTTCCTCATTTGTTCTCTTTATTTTGAATTTTTACTAATGGCATCAACACATAATATACATGTTTGTACCATGTTTGGCTGACTTTCTCTTGTAATTTATAAATTCTTGATTTATACCCCTGAGAGTTATATTTGTTTTGTTTTAAGGGAAAGGAATGGGAGATGATGTATTTCAAGCTAACAACATGCCTTCTGCTCGGACACCGCGTGGACATCAAGGTCCTGCTGGATTTCTGATGCTAGTCTCGGGACTCGATAAGGTAACAGCTGAATATTCATGTTATGTGAAAAGTTTTAATGTTCCTCATTGCATTCATCTGCCACCAAAGAAAACTGTCCTATTCTTATTTAATTGCTTCAACTCATCATTTTTGTATTGCTATACAACTGAATTGATGGAAACATGGCTCTTTGTAAAGATCAGTGCTATTATTAATCTCTAAGATACATGAAACAGAAATTTATGTATGTCAGCGATATTTTAATGTGTCTTTCCTAACTAAAACTTGAAGAATTCTTTTAGCAGGAATATATTTCATTTATTTATCCATTACCAAAACAAATCAGAGGCTGTCAACAATGCTTTCCATATAAAATAAACAAACAAACTATTAAACACTATAAAAAGACACTAGTGCCATAAGCGTTTCAACCTCAAGAGGTCATCGTCAGTGGCAACAGGGGAATTAATTCATTTAATCAAAATGGTTTAAAATTGGTCTAAATATGGTTTAGAAAACAAGTAATGAAGTGGAATATTTTACAAAAGCATATCAAGCAACACTACACTAAAATTATTCATTATTTGTTTTCTAAACCATATTTAGACCAATTTTAAACCATTTTGATTAAATGAATTAATTCCCCTGTTGCCACTGATGATGACCTCTTTAGGGTGAAACGCGTATGGCACTAGCGTCTTTTATAGTGTTAATAGTTTGTTTATTATCTTATTTTATATTCTAATACACTGCTCGGTATGCAAAGGTTTAATGCTTTCCATGATTAAAATAATCATGGTCCAGGTTTTTCTGACATATTTTCAGTTCTTGTAAGAATTAGTGATATTACAAATATGGAATCTTTCTAATTGTAATAGAGATTAAATAATTCAGTAAAAAACCAATCTTGAACTCCACCATAATACAAATCAACATTTACTCATTTGATTAATAATTCGGTCTTTAGCATCCATTATTTAACTAAAGAAACAATAACGGCAAGTAGGTAAATTAATTTGTGTCCTTGGACATAATTTGGCCTGTTAAAACTTGAAATTTAAATCAATATATGTGTTACAACATTTTCTGTTACAGCATGGATCAGAGTCTAAAACACCTTTGAAGTACTCGCACATTGATATAGCTGCCTCTGCTGGGGATCTCCCAAATGATGCTACTGGTGCCCCAATTTTGGCACTTGCTGGACTGTACTTAAAGGACTCTTATTAATTTGGTTTACTTAGTGGTCGAATTTATTAATTTAGTTTATTTAGTGGGCCACTCTTATTTGGCAGGGTTTTTTCTTGAGGCTGTGCATGGGTTCAAAAACATGTTGTACTTGTTCTATTCTTTCTTACCCTCTTGACCATTTCAAATACAGTAGTCGTGCAGCCTTGCCAGCTACAATTCTCCAAGTAGTAGCTGGTGATTATCAAGTCGATGAGGATGCATCTCATCCAAGTGATTTTTATTCTTCAAAATTCTGTTGTGTTGTTAGGTTTGCTCATGGAATTTTAAGTTGCACTTTTAAATTTACTTTGGAACTAGACAAAGTATGTACATTAGGGTAATGATTTATGATTTGAAAGATTGCCAAATATAATTATTTTATTTTTCTTTTAGTTAATGGGGGTAACAGTGTTATTAAGACTTCAGACATGCAAGGATTCAGTTGTGCAGGGGCACTGTGATAGGATGCAGTTCTACAAGAAATGATTTGATCACCATATGTAACATGAACAGTAGTTTAATTACTCAAAGTCTGGATCCCATAGTAGGAGTATATTGTGATCAGTTTTCCTGACTTAAAATTTTAGTCCAAAACTTTACATTTGTTATGGTTTCTTTCATTACCAGTACCAAATAAATATTTATTTGCTACTTTGAGTGGTATGTTCATTAAATGGAGATCCATACTCCATACTTTTACCAACATAATCTAGTGGTCCAAAGAGTATGCTATTGGAAAGTTATTTATATTTATAATGGGTTATACTTATGTGATGCAGTACTTGTTTTCTTCTTGTATTTTATAAAATGTCTTACAGGAGGCTGTGTAATTTTCCATAGGTTTTAAATCTGGGGCAAAGTGTACTTTTTTATCTTTGTGAAAGGGTTGCCTTCTGCAAAACATGTACTCCAAACTTTGTGATCAACAAATAAAGTAAATAGTTCCTGAGTTTATGCTGCAAAATGAAAGTACCAAGAAGTAAGTGATAAGCTGTCAAAATAGTGTGATAATTTAACCTTTCCTGTGTTGTGAATGAGATAGGCCTACTCCTTGATGAAACAGTTGTCACTTATGGTTAAAATGTTGTGTATACCTCCATTTTTGACAATTCTAACTCATCTATTGATCTCATTTTGCCATCTTACCAATAAAACTGTTTTTAAATCAGTTTTATTCTCTCTTTCTCTCTCAGGATGCAACAAATATGCAAGTTCTGTATGATCTTCTAGAATTTTGTTTTTGTTTAGATTTCTGGTTCAACATTAAGCAGTTTTTATTCGTGAGTGATAATTTTATACTGGGGAGATTAGCACTTCCGTATTTATGAACTTTTTCATACAAGTTTAAAGCGCCGTGCACTGTGGTGTATTGCAATGGAGGTAGTTTAGTGGCCATCTTCAGTACTTCCAGGTAAATGCCAGAATACTAGCACCTTGAAATCCGCCGTACATTGTAGCTGCATCCTTGTGAAACTAAATCATTTCTGTACCTGATATAATCGTACACATCTTTCTCTTGAGAAGGCTTTAGTCCTGTTTGAAGTTTAATATTAATACTATCCGAATTCTATGATACACGTGAACTGTGTTGTTGTTGTTGTTGTTGTTGTTGTTGTTGTTGTTGTTGTTGTTGTTGTTGTTGTTGTTGTTGTTGTTGTTGTTGTTGTTGTTGTTGTTGTTGTTGTTGTTGTTGTTGTTGTTGTTGTTGTTGTTGTTGTTGTTGTTGTTGTTGTTGTTGTTGTTGTTGTTGTTGTTGTTGTTGTTGTTGTTGTTGTTGTTGTTGTTGTTGTTGTTGTTGTTGTTGTTGTTGTTGTTGTTGTTGTTGTTGTTGTTGTTGTTGTTGTTGTTGTTGTTTTTTATTTTATTTTTTTTATTATTTTTTTTATTACGTACGCGTATACACCTGCAATTTTAACCGTTACACAATACACAGGCTGTGCACCTCTACAGCGTCGAGTGGTAGTGTGATGATTTTGAATGATGAACTGTGAATTCTTGACTTGAAGGTTATATAACGATGCTGTTGCATTGTATGTACCAAAGTGCATGGAAATATGATAATGAGGAGTTATTAGTATTAGAGGGACCGATCGTCGTCTGTTTGAAGCTAACTTGCAAATTTGCCTAGAGACAGAAGAAAACAAAGAAGCCTCCCATTCTGGATGTGTGAGTGTCCAGCTAAGATTCGTATGTTTTTAAAGCAGAGTTGCTGGCAATTTGATTCAAGCCATTGGATACCCCCCTTTCCGCATCACTACAAGATGATCTGAAATGTACAGAAAAATTACAGATAAACCTACACTAAACTATGAAGGGATTTAACACTGTTCTATTAGATTAAGATTATTCACATTCATTCTTTGTCTCACCCATCAGGTAAAGTACGAGAGTCCATTAATATATTTCTTTTATGGGAGACACTTCTGCTACTCATGTGTGATTTACTTCAGTCATCTTTAGGGACGCTTTACTTAAAAGCTCCGACAAACTTTGTATATCTTTTGAATCCCATGACAGATTTTAATGGAAACTGAAATTGGACACCTCCACTACACAAGTATTACAACATGAAAGTTTCATTCATTAAGATCCACATAAATTGAATACCAAATTTGTTGGTATCCATAAAATCACACTGTATACAATATTCCTATAACAGGGTGACCAGAGATTTTCGAGTTTGTGTTAAGTGAATGCATTTCATTAAAAAACACACAACTCATTTTGGAATTCTCTTTTGCCATTCCTGGTTCTAGTGCAGCTATAGAGTATTTTTTATCAAAGATACTCTGTGGACTGATTTTATTTTTTTTATTATTTTTTTTATTACGTACGCGTATACACCTGCAATTTTAACCGTTACACAATACACAGGCTGTGCACCTCTACAGCGTCGAGTGGTAGTGTGATGATTTTGAATGATGAACTGTGAATTCTTGACTTGAAGGTTATATAACGATGCTGTTGCATTGTATGTACCAAAGTGCATGGAAATATGATAATGAGGAGTTATTAGTATTAGAGGGACCGATCGTCGTCTGTTTGAAGCTAACTTGCAAATTTGCCTAGAGACAGAAGAAAACAAAGAAGCCTCCCATTCTGGATGTGTGAGTGTCCAGCTAAGATTCGTATGTTTTTAAAGCAGAGTTGCTGGCAATTTGATTCAAGCCATTGGATACCCCCCTTTCCGCATCACTACAAGATGATCTGAAATGTACAGAAAAATTACAGATAAACCTACACTAAACTATGAAGGGATTTAACACTGTTCTATTAGATTAAGATTATTCACATTCATTCTTTGTCTCACCCATCAGGTAAAGTACGAGAGTCCATTAATATATTTCTTTTATGGGAGACACTTCTGCTACTCATGTGTGATTTACTTCAGTCATCTTTAGGGACGCTTTACTTAAAAGCTCCGACAAACTTTGTATATCTTTTGAATCCCATGACAGATTTTAATGGAAACTGAAATTGGACACCTCCACTACACAAGTATTACAACATGAAAGTTTCATTCATTAAGATCCACATAAATTGAATACCAAATTTGTTGGTATCCATAAAATCACACTGTATACAATATTCCTATAACAGGGTGACCAGAGATTTTCGAGTTTGTGTTAAATGAATGCATTTCATTAAAAAAAAACTCATTTTGGAATTCTCTTTTGCCATTCCTTGTTCTAGTGCAGCTATAGAGTATTTTTTATCAAAGATACTCTGTGGACTGATGAAAAGAACTTTTCCTTGTTGAAACCATCAAACCAGTGATAGGAACAAAAAACACATTTTGAGGAACGTTTGTGCAACAACTTCTCTCAAACAAACCCAAATTACTTCAAGAAATTTGTTCACTATGAAGTACCCAACATCTGTCCGAGAGGAAAGAACAACTCTTCAACATTAACTGGATATTAACTTCAAACAAAATTCTGTAAGTATGAATGAAAAAAATAATTAAAATACAAAATTAATTTAAACAGTATCAGTGAAATCATCTGTTGTAAATTCGACTTGGATACTTGGACGACTAAACAGGAATACTAAATAATTTGAGTAATGGAATGAATCTGGGATGTAGAATTGCCTTTGAAACGTTTTCTACACCACGAGAATATTGTACTTCAAATATTGTCTGTATTTATGGTAAATATTTCAACTTTTACAGCAATACGAAAAAATCTCGTGAATTAATTTCGTAACTCTTTTAATCCGAAGATGGTCTAAAAAATATTTATAATAATCCGTGGCGTAACAGCCCTCTGAGAGCCAAAGCCGACTAGCTGGCTGCTGGCCTCACGTTCACATGCCTGAGCAGAGGTGAACGATCATGTCGTGAAAATTAAGATTTCCTTGAATTCAGAGCGTAACATTAGCCAAAGTCGCTTGTTGCTTTTCAGTTTTAAACGATGATGAACCAACTGCCAAGTCCGAAATCTTCATATTAATATCGAGGTGAAGGAACGTAAATTCTGTTTCTTGGAATTAAAATCGTAAAAGGTCAATGTACGTAATCCTGGTTTGATAAAAAGTGCCGGAAAACTTTCTGATAGATCCGAGACATAATATGTATTTAGACTAGACACATTTGAAAATTAGTTTGGTAACGACTATTTTGATAAAGAAGAACACAGACGTTTTACTTGACGTTAGTAGAAAGTTGGGGACGAGTGATGTTTCCCGAGCTTTTCCTCAGTTGTAAGGCAAATACAAGGGTATAATTCAAAAACAGGGCGGTCCGCCAACCCCAAATAATTGAGGCCTTCAGCTGACGTGAACCCTCCCTTCCCAGAGCGACCTCTGGGTTCAATTTCAAGAAAACTATCCAACCAAAATCCTTTTCATGAAGGACAAGCTGCCTCTACGCGATAACTCTCATCAGCAGCAACAGACCCTAGTTTGAATAATCAAGGCTTCTGCAGCGACAAAACCCTCGTTTTAGTTATAAGGCACTGTTTACCATTTACAGCAATGCGTTCCCTACGCAGAAATGGAGTTATCTAGCAAGGAATGATGTCTTGCGCTTGCGTTGGACTCTGCCGTTAGCTTTTTGGAACTGCTAGGTCCAGAGACAGGGACTAGCTCTATGGATTGTGCCCAACAGAGAGGGATTTCTACCTGGAGACGGAGAAAGACTCCATTCTCCAAAACGCCATTTTTATTGCTTTTTGGTCTTGGACTACGCATTAGGTCCAAAAAATAGTTTGCCTCAACATCTAAGAGAGACTGTGACCATAGATCTTGTAATTTCCTCTCCGAAAGGACAGTATTTTGCCTTGACGTTCTTTTATCGCGGTTGCGTTCCTGTCAACAGAAACCATTCTTCTTGTCAGGAGTCGAAACCAATGTTGAGGCCTTTGTTTCTGTAATCTCCTATTCGAGGAAAAAGTCTCTGATTCTGTCGCCGTTGTTCTATCTCGCTTAGTTTCGGAGTTAAAGGAACCGCCCTTGCCGGAAATCGAACTCAGGACGCTTTTCCCTGAGTTCTGACCTTCCTGTGTTCTCTCATTTGTCTTAAGGAATAATTACGCCAGGTTTCTTCGTCACGAGCCACAAGCGAATGAGTAAAGAAACGTCAACCCCCAATCTCGAGTTTACGCATGATCAGTAGACTCTGCGGTATTTTCTAAGGGCAAATATGACTGTTTCTTACAATTTCATCTTCTGGGTCTCAGACAGTTTTTTGGGCTTGTGACCCTAGACAGTCAAATAATTTCCCAGGAAAAAACAGAATTTTCCTTAGCGCCATCTTCCCTAGGGCTTGCTAACTGGACAACAGAAAACATCTTTGCCGGGATTCGAACGAAGGAAACATTTTCTTTGGCCCAGCGCCCAGGCCCCTCAAAAATCATCTTAAAATTAATCAAGTATACTGAAACCGGGCGCTATTTTTAAATAAGGGCAATTGGAATTGTAGTTTTCTTCACAT